ACTTGCATAAATACGGCAGTATCGTATGATCCTGGGTAATTCAGTTAGTCACGTACCCTCCTCGAAAAGTGTTGTTCATCTCTCTTATCAGGGTTCGAGTTTCAGGGTTAACGTGTCCGAGAGAACGGGGCCTCTCCTCTCGGACTGCAGGAAAATTAGTAGGGTCGAAGGTCCGGATACCCCGTATCTAAAACTAGGAGGGATAAACCGCGCTTCGCGCGGTGGAGTACAAAACATGAATGCCCACAGAAGCATTACAATTATGTAAATAGTAGTTGGAATTGCTAATAAGTAATTTCAGATAGAAATTAATATTGGAGTTATATGTATCGATTAACAACAGAAAATTGTGAGATAAATGTAACAAGATAATCCGGTAACCGAATTATTTCTTGTTTTAGAAAAAGAAATGTCGTTACACATATAATAAGAGGATTTAAAATTTGCAGAAATACTAATATATTAGATGTTAAATGTATGATGCCATGGATACAGGATTTCTTTACGATCCCATGACCTTACTTACCCTAGTTCCTTAGTTTAATGCATAAACGACGTATTAGCGTAGTGGGAAAAAAAAAAAAGAAGATGCCCAATTTAATAAAATGATTTGTACATATTCAAAATGGATCCATTTAATGGAATTGTTTGTGTCTGATGGAATTTAGTTACAGATAAACCAAAAGAAACCTCTAACAAAGAGGGTCTAATAAATTCAATAATGAATTGTCCTAAACTAGTTACATTGATAAATAAGAAAGCATGCAGCATGGAGCTTGAAACGCACAATGCATCTTTCCTCTATCCAAAAGTAATTTTGTTTCTGCTGCCGCCCATGGCAAGATTTGCTAAGTTCTCCAGCAACAACCTAATCATGAAATTATAACGATAAAATCTTAGTATATATTCCATTGCAATTAGCAATGGACCTCGGCACCAATACATAGAAACTGGAAATGGGTCAGGAGACATTGATTGATCCCAAAACAAACAAGATAAACTCGACAACTTTAAAATTTGTAATATTTATACAAAATCTAAACCCACATTTTCCCCTCTTAAGAGAAGCATGATATATATTTTGTCTATTATTAAGTATCAAAGAAAAGAGATCTAAAGCATCTTATAAGTTGTAGAGTTAGAGCAACTTGCATGGTAACTAATAATTCCACCAAAGCAGATAAATTGGCTACTCTGCTATTTCCAAAGAATTGAAGTTAAAAAGAATTCAGAATGCAATCTATTGCAGTATGGCCATCCATGTATATCACCCAAAGGAAGAAATTGGAAATATGCTAACTACCAAATGATCCTAATCTGAAAGATAAATTCGACAAGTTTTAACTCCAAAATATCCCAACATATTAAACTCATTCCGTTGTCGTAAAAGTGAAACATTGAAATAGCAACTATATTATTTTTTTTTTGAAGGAGCAAGGAAGGGGCAGAACACACAATCTTTGGAATGATCCTACAATGCAAAAACAAAGTGGAAACTTATTCATCATAGGGAGGACATCTTTCTATTATGTTAAAACAATACCCCATTCCAAAAGTCAGAGGCATTGAAATGTAAGCTAGATTGCATAGTTGCTTTTATCCTCGGAGAAGCTTGAGATATTCTCATCTAAGAATGTGTTTTATAGATCTAAAATTTAAAATCTTTTGTGTCTGAAAATTTTAAGGTTTGATAGCTCAATTCTTCATTTAGCATATGATAAGTATTAAGAAACTATAAAATCATGAAGGAATATTTCTGTACCTGTAAAGGCAAAACCAAGGTTTGTATAGAAGCCTTTATAGGGAAATTTTCCATGCCATAATAAGCGAAACTTAATATTTGACACTTAATTATTGCTAAGGTTTTTCAGACTTTGGAAACACAGAGCAAATGCAACTGATCATAAAGAAGTCCTATAATTCTAATCTTCAATTGGGAAAGAAAAGGAAAAACACAAAAGAGAAGGAACTGTATCGAGTCCCATACCTCAAGATGAGTGTATGTTAATCCAAACCAATTCTTGCTTACGTGAAACCGTTGCTTTCTTAACTGCAAAAAAAACTGCTCAGTGCTGTATCCAATGCTCCCTAACTGATTATATCCTCTGGAAGGCCCACTATAGGCTTCAAAATTCAATTTAGTAAAATCACCTGTCGAGATTGCGGCATTAAGTTTCTGCTCAAAAAAAAGATTCATGTAAATCAGTTGAAAATAGATGTATAACAAAGTTTCATGTATTCATGTTAAAAGCAAGAAATGGAAGTTATGAGCCAATTCCATAAGCCAGTTTAAGTGAATTGCTTGGGGATGGTAACATCTCCCATGGACATGGAACTACTAATATTGCCTGATGGCAAAATGCACTACTCCAATTACATCAAACAGATCCAATAGTGAGACAAAGTAATAAGGTTAACAGAAACCAACAGTGATACAAAGTAATTGAAAAGCTTCCATTTCAGTGAAGGTTTTCAAGAACAAGACAAAGCTTTTCTTCTGCTATATAGTTTGGAAATTGCAAATGCTGATTAATCAGAATGGAAATATTCAAATCAAGAATAATTACAGCAGCTCTTAATTAAAGCCCCAATTAGATAGAGAAAAGTCATTTCAGTGGTATATTTGCACTCTAAAACAATGTCAATATGATTCTTTAGACATTTGCAGATGTTTAGTGCACTTGAAACAATAATTCAAAGTCAACATCTAGCATTGCAACATAAGAAACACATAAGATGTCCAACCTTTGGAAGTCCTCCAATCCCAAATGCAATATCCAAAGCAAATGAACCTGTGGACACAACTGGAACTTGTTTGACAGGGGCGGAGCAGCCAAGCCACATGATAGAACCTTTTCCAAATGATGCAGTGATATGATACATTGCCTACTTGAGTGCCAAATTTTCTTTGACATCCGACTTGGATTTTCTTCTACCTTCCATACAAAAAATGACTTATGTTCATAATGAACTAATGAAGCACAAAAAAATTGATATTTTCTACTGCAGAAAGAGAAAAAGTAGGTACTCTCAAGCAGAAATAACACAATCCCACCCAAATGTGAAAAATATCAAGCTCAACAAATTTCAGCAAAAGAACTATACTGAAAAGAACTCATCTTATTCAAAGAATCACATGGGGGAAAAGGGTCAAGTGATTGTTACGTTAAGGATGATGCACTTAATGTTAAAATACTCCAGGAGGGAGGTATTTTTACCAAAATATGGCAATAAACTTGCATACTTGAGTGCTTTATAATTTTTAGTGAACAGAAAACCCCAAAATATGGGAGAAAACATGCAACTGCCATATTAAATAAACACTAAACTAATATATGTATTAGTTTTAACTGGTCCTGGCAAGGGGCTAAAGCCTAAAAAGATAGACTTCATATACAAAAGTTATTTTACTTTATCTATATTTGAACCCATCAAAATGATCACCTAGATAAGAAGGTATGAAGACCAAATGGAGTCCAGTTCAGTAGGAAAATAAACTTCGGGTGCCTTTTGGAGGAAAAGTAGGAGAGCATAGTGGATGCCCCTAACAAGCCTTTCCTATAGGTCTACATCAACAAACAACAAATTCATGTCATGACTCATGAAGAAAGTGAGAAAAAAAATTTAAAAAAAGCAATACTAATTGAAAAACGATGTCAGAAAACATGTCAAACAAAAGACTTTTTCTTTAAACAGTATGCAAGTTCAATAATTTTTAAAAAAAGGAACAACTTCTGCAAGCAAACAAAGTACAACATTTGACTTTCCTAGTTGATAGGAAATTATAGTATAATAATTTATTCGTAGCTTCCAACTGCTAATAACAATTATAAACACTATATTACACCTATAATTTCAAAAAAATAGTACAAACAAGACACAAGTACCGTAAAAACGTTGAAACTCAACAAAGCTGTGAAAAACATATCTGAGAAAAAGCTGAATTTTTTTTCTAAAAAATGCTTCAAATTTCTACAACGGGCTATTACCTATCATTAATCCTAACCAAAGTGTTCTCCAAAAATACAAAGAAAGTAAGAACAAAATCTTCCCTATTTGAAGTGGCCTTCCTTGTATTTCTGGTTTGGTGGGGAAATTACCTGAGAAAGAGGTTGCAGAAACAGAGCGCATCCGAGAGAAGAAGCATTTTGGAGAAGCCTCGCCATCATATTCAAAGGCTTCCACCAAACCCAAAAATGTCATTGGCCAAAAAGAAAATAAAAAAAGATGAAGTACAGGAAAAAATAAATAAATCATAGAAATTAAGCACTTTACATTGGAAATTTTCTGTTTGCCTCCTATTGTTCAGTTTGCTGCATAGAAATAAATCTTTCAAAGGCTCTTTAGAAATGCATCAATACTTTTACACGTCCCAATTCAAAGGGCTTCTATGCATTTTAAAAAGGAAAAAAAGATACACGTATAGGAAAATAAACAGAGGGGGCAAAAGGAGGTCTTGTAGATTTTTTTTTTTTTTACAGATGAAGAACAACCATATCAAAAAGTCACTCGATTTGAAAAGGGTAAGAAAAATTAGGAACAACAATATAAAAAAATAATCTGATTTGAATGGAGGATGAAGGGTAGCAAAGGAGAATAAATTTGGTAAAAAGAAAGAAAAGTCCTAAACCAAAGTCCTAAACCTTGAGCTGGAAATGATGCTGGCCACACGCTCTGGGGGATTCTAGTAATCAGTTGGGGGAATTTGTATGGATGGATGGATGGGTGAAGCTATAAACTGTAAAGGGCCTCAGTGGTTTGTTAGTGTAAAAGCACTATGGTTCATGCGTCCACACATCATATTAACAGTCAACAGACGCTTGAAAGTAGCTATGCATTTAACTTCAAAGGTGACCTCTACATGATGAGATTGACCCAAGAATGTACAGCAGTGAATAGTCACATTAAGGGCACCCAACCTTCTTTCTCAACCTTTGCTTGGAAGACATTAAATATATCAAGCAAACAATGAGCATCAGCAGTTACATACACCTTTTGCTCCTCGCTAAGAGGACGGTGCGACCAATCACTGCATTGAAGTTCCTAAAGCATATGCATCTCACCATGTAAATTATCGAAAATGCAATCAAACACAATAATAAAACTTGAGAATGGAGCTAATGGCAAAGCCGTTGGTAAAGTAAGAACCTTTGAAAGTGAAACACCCAGCACTTCTTGGCAAATGGTTGCCAAGCTCTTGCTTTGTCTTGGTACCTTTCTTCCTGAAGATTGCTTGTGTTGTAGATAGCTGTACACACTTGTAATATCTAGAAAAGGCTCCACCTATTCTGACCAATTATCAGTGAAATGGTATCACAAATTATATCAACCAAAAAGGGTAACTGCAAGTCTGCAACATCGTTAATCTAACCTATTTCATCCTCTGAACTATGTTCTCTACCAAGAAAACAAGTAAAAGCCACGTACAATCCAGAAAAATAACAACATTGTCAGCAAAAAAAAAAATCGCTATTTAGCAGGAGCAATTTTGGTCCAAATAACGCGCATGAGAAAAATTCCACCATTTTAAAAAGCATGTATTGCCTTCATCAGCCAAAAATTGAAAAAATAAACGCATTACCTTGACCAACCAAAAGCTCAAACATAAAAAAGGTGAAAAGTATAAACAGAATTTGGAGGGGAAAAAGAATAAGTACAATGAAACTTGGACTCACCCTATCGAAACCAGGATCGTAGCCTTGAGAACAAAAAGTGGACGATAAATATACCAAGTCTTGTTTGAACCTAAAACCTAATTTGAGATTATCATGGGATACAAACGCTTTGCGCAATAATTCGTAGATTGACGGAAAGGGAAGTAGGTATAGGTCGAGAAGGAAGACCGGCGACTCGTTGGAATCCGGGAATAGTCGGCATGCGATTTGGAGGATAGAGACCGGGGGAAAGGTGGATTGGTGGCTGCGGAGGGGCTTCCATTTGGCGTCGATTCCGACGACAGTGGAGTGAGTCAGACACCAACACAAGTGAGTGAACTCGGCGGCGGAGAGGTTTTGGAAAGGAAAGCCATGAGAGAATATGTGTTTTGTGTAGTTAACCCTAAGCCGACAACCCACGCATCACGCGAAAAAAAAAACTAAAGGCATGCTTATAGCACGTGACGACGACGACGAAAAAGCAAATGAACAGTAACGCCTTTGGCTCTTAGAGTGTTATGTTAAAAAAAAGTATAGTTACCTGAAAACATAACAACAGCTGCCATAGTGTACTATAGTATCAGTAGATACACCTGTTTTATAAGGGAAGAAGTTTGCAACTTCATATATGGGGAGCTAATTTATGGGACTTAATGATTGTGTATGAAGCAATGAAACCGTGTCAGCTAGTAAAATGCTAAACTCCTAAGAAGGATAACAAGTGCCTATTTTCCCAAGCCATTTTGAATATCCCCCCTGCCAGTCAAATCAGAGATCAAAATTTTTCAGTTTTAATTAACCATTCATTTCAATATAACGTCAATTGAAGGAGCCAAACAGAAAAAATTAACGCCACATATGTTTGTCCTTTGCATGTTATGGTCTTCTATACTCTGCACCGCCAAAAAAAAAAAAATCTGTAAAAGGTATTATGGGCTTTTTGCGGCTTCAGACGGATGAAAATTGAAGGAGCAATCTTTTGTAAATTCGTGGGATATTTGTATTAGTCCTAGTGCTAACATTTTTCTCCAACTGATTGTCATTTCTATTTGTTTCGATAGAATGAAAACTTGGTTAAAGTAATGCTATGGAATCTCTTTCCTTTTTTTTTTTTTGTCAAAACTTTCGTAAGACTTTTGTGACTTTACAAACTTAAATCCCGAGTAAACCTCAAAAGCTGGCTATGGAATCTCTTTCCTTGAACGGTACTCTATGATGTTAATGATTTGTTTGTTCCCAACTTTGTACGTTCCCTCCCCTTGAATATTCTAATTAAGAACCTCGAGTATCGGATCTCACATTTCAATTTTCAACTGATCAAGAGGAATTCGAAATTTGTCATCTCTTGCTCAAGAACACTTCAATTTGCCTTAGAGTAAAACCAATGATCGATGTGATTGTGGAAAGAAATAATTGGATAGAGCCCAGAAGAAGCACATTGCTAAATTGCCTATCCCTACTGAAATTGTACTTGTTTCGTTCCAATTATTTAATCATGTTTGGGGAATCCAACTTTTAAAATATAGTGATTTGATTGTGATATTTGTACTTCTCTTTTCAATTTTATTCCTACAAATTCAAATTTTAAATTTGAATGATAACATGTACTTCCTCCGTCCCACTTTAATAGTTCTGGTTCTTTTTTCACACAGTTTAATAAAAAGTAGTTAATTTTGTTGGAACAATCAATTTAGGTAGTTATTTTCCTAAAATACTCTCACATTAATTAGAGTACAACTTTATGGAACTTGAATTGATGGTAAAAAAAGAACCAACTCTAATTAAATGGGGTAGGTTTATAGTAACAACAACCTAGATTGAATAAGGGTATTTTAGAAAAATTAAAATACAATTACATTCTTCAATTGGAAAGTGGACTACAATTTGGGACAGACGAAAAAGGAAAACAAGACTATCAAAGTGGGACGAAGGGAGTATATGATTAGAAAGAACAGTTATATTAAAAAGAAAGATTAAAATGTGTTTTTTTTTTTCAACGTGGCAACACTTTCAGCTGTACGGAGGCAATATATTGGTTTATCGGATCTTGCAACATTAATTATCTATTACTCTATTCGAAGTCAATTTGCGAAAGATTCTTGATCTGACATGTGCATGTATTGCGTGCATCGATGCCCGACTAATATAGTTCTTTTCCCGCTTTCTGACTCCTAACTGCTAAGTTTTTTTCAGACATTTTCTTGAAAAAACTCAAGAATTCGGCAAGATAAACCTAGATTCCCGAGCAACCTTCAAAAGCCAGCAACTTTTGAAGGCGCCCAAGGAACTTATCTACCCATTTCCAAACCCCCCCATTACCGATGTGGGAAAGAACCCCCACAGGGGCAAGCCCAGCAGGGCGGCTTCTACTAAGAGTTAACTAACCCCCACCAACCCCGGTATGACCCCCCAGCAGTTGTTTTTTTTCTGACATTTTCTTGAAGAAACTCAAGAATTCGACAAGATAAACTTAGATCCCCGAGCAACCTTCAAAAGCCGGCAACTTTTGAAGGCGCCCAAGGGACTTATCTACCCATTTCCAAACCCCCCCCATTACCGATGTGGGAAAGAAATCACACCCTATCAACGTATCATAGACTCGGTTTTTGACATTAAATACAAGTGGGTCCACGGTGTTAATGTTTTAAAAGTTGAACCGTTAATTGAATCGATAAAACAAATGAATCGAGATTCAATCGATCAAATCGATTTAACTTTGATTTGATGATTATATATATATATATATATAAATATACACATACACATGTGCGCACGTATACACTTGATGCTCAAAATAAGATATCTTATGGACGAATTTAAGATATTACTTGATATAGAGTTAAATATATTTAAACAAAAATAAATTTTTAAAATTGTAAATTCAAACCAATAAATCTATTTCAATTGTACCTATTAGAAAAAAAAATTTTAAATCCTACACAAATCACAACCATATTTTGAAAATATACAAAATGCATTGGAACTATTGAAATTAAACAAAATCTAATAGAACTACAAAAAGAAAACGGCAATCTTTGAGTTTAAGGGTGATAAATAGAGAGAGTTTGGTTATGCTTTTAGAAATTAGGGTTGGGAATAAAAGATTCGATAGATAAGTTTTATATTTAAAACTTTAGATTCATTTCTAAAAAAAAAAAGATTGAAAAAATAAAAAACCGCAATTCACAAGTCAATTCGGGTTGAACGGTCCAACTAGTTTTTTGCGATTTTAACCCATTTTTAATATAAATCAACACTAGTGGTGAATCGGATCGGAGACTTGTCCGGTTCGTTGTCTGATCAATCGAACCAGCTGGTCCGGTCCAATTTTCAAACCTTAATATAACAGGTCAAAGTCATACTTTGATTGCCTTCTCTTGTTGCTGGAACTGGAAGCCATTGCTAGAGTTGGAAATGGAAGATGCTCTGTTGGGAGATAAGGAAGAGAGGAAGAGGGTGGTTGCAACATGGGATTTATTTTTGCAAGAATTGAAGAGTGTTAGCTGCATAGCACTGCCAATGGTGGTGGTGACAATTTCGCAGCACTTCTCCAGGGTTGCATCGATGATGATGGTTGGACATCTTGGTGAATTCTCGCTCTCGGGCACATCCATTGCTACTTCTCTCACTAATGTTACTGGCTTCAGTCTTCTTGTAATGTCTTCTTTCTTCTTTTCTTCTAAATCTATTACTTTCCACAGCAATTTATGGTGGTAACTTACTGCAGCAATCCTGAAATAGTGCAAGCAGTTCTGCCGACTCTAAATTAGTACTTCTTCACATTCATTTCTAATTGTTTCGGTAGACGTATTTGATGAGTTAAATGGATAGCGCATGATAGGGAATATGTTGCATTGAATCAGTAGGCCTCTGTGAGTCTTGGTAAGCTCAATTTATTGCAATGGTTCTGTTCTGATGCTTGAACTAATCAGATAATCAACATCTTCCGGTTAAAGAATTTTAACCAAGCACCCTTTGCACCTCGATTACAGCTGAATGGCTGATGAGACTCTCGGAGAATTACAATCTTAATCCAGCCAAATTCTGGAAATCCTTTCTATGAGTTTTCACTATCATTCTGATAGGATTAGAAGCAAGCATGTATACGTACTACCTTCCTGTAGCAGCCACCAACCAATTTCGCAGTATGATCAGCCCGAATTCTATTGTAGCTAATTCAATAACGAATTTTCAAACAGTTTGGAATGGCTAGTGCACTGGAAACTCTCTCTGGCCAAGCTTATGGTGCAGGCCAGTACCACAAGCTAGGGATCTATACTTACGGTGCCATCATATCTCTAATCATGGTCTGCGTACCAATATTGGTACTGTGGCTCTTCTTGGACAGACTACTCATCTTCATAGGTCAAGACCATTTGATTTCCGCTGAAGCTGGCAGATATGCATTTTGGCTGATTCCTGCATTGTTTCCACATGCCGTTCTACAAGCGCTGATTCGCTATCTGCAGACTCAAAGTCTGATCCTGCCAATGCTCTTAAGCTCAGTTGCAGCGCTATGTTTCCACTTGCCTGTTTGTTGGGCTTTCGTGTTTTACTTGAAACTTGGAAATGCTGGAGCTGCCTTGGCGCTTGGCTTATCCCATTGGTTTAATGTGGCATTGCTTGTTTTATATGTGAAGTATTCTGCAGCCTGTGTAAAAACCCGTATCTCTTTTTCAAGAGATGCTTTCGCAAGTATGGGGGAGTTCTTCAAATTCGCTGTCCCTTCCGCGGTCATGGTGTGGTAATCATGGTTCGCCATATCGGCCGATACCGATACGTATCGGCCGAGTCGTATCTGGAACGGAAGGGACCGGTACGATACCGATCCCCGAATCACGGATATCACCATATCCGCGACGACTCGCTCTGACTCGGCCAATATTGACCGATTCGAATCCGTGATACATGATATCGATCGATATATCCGAGTCAACTCGGAGTCGACTCCGATATTTTTTTAAATTGTGTCTTTTTCAGTATTTTCTAATTTTAGTAATTTTTTTCAAAATTTTTGGAAACTTTAATGTGTTATAATGTTCA